TCAAGATGTATTTGAAAAAAAGAATGCAGATATACTCCCGGAACATTGTCCCTATGATTGCTCAATTGACCTTCAAGAAGGAGCACAACCGCCATTCGGACCAATCTACAGTTTATCACAAAATGAGTTGACTGAACTCAAGGAGTATATTGAAGAAAATCAAGCCAAGAATTTTATATGCCATTCTAAATCTCCGGCAGGAGCTCCAATTCTATTTGTGAAGAAAAAAGATGGATCATTGGGGATGTGTGTTGATTATCGAGGACTCAACAAGATTACTATCAAGAATATGTATCTACTACCTTTAATATCTAGAGTTCTTGATCAATTGAATCAAGCTAAGATCTATACAAAAATAGATCTCCGGGGAGCATACAATCTAGTACGCATCAAAGAAGGAGATGAATGGAAGATTGCGTTTCAAATTAGGTATGGACATTTTGAATACAACGTCATGCCTTTTAGACTTACAAATGCACTAGCAGCTTTTCAACATCTAATAAATGATATTTTTTGAGAGTTTTTGGATGATTTTGTGGTCTGTTATATAGACGACGTCTTGATTTATTCTAAGAATCCAGAAGAACATGAACTTCATGTTCGTCGTGTATTACAAAAATTAAGAGATACAAGAATCTATGCCAAGATAAAAAAGTGTGTATTCCACACTACTCAAGTTGACTTCTTAGGTTACATCATTTCAAATGATGGACTTATGATGGATCTTAAGAAAGTTCAAACTATTATAGATTGGAAGATTTCAAAAATGGTAAGAGATGTCTAATGTTTTTTGGGATTTGCCAACTACTATCAAATCTTCATCAAGGACTTCTCTCGAGTTATAGTTCTACTTACACGTTTGACTTGTAAAGACAAACTCCAATGGAATCAAGAAGCGAAAGTTGATTTTGAATCTTTGAAGACAACGTTTGTTTTTGCACCAATCTTGTATTGTGTTGATTTTTCCAAAGCATTCTTCATGGAAACAGATGCATCAGACTTTGCTCTGGGTGTAGTTTTATCACAAATGGGAACAGGTGACAAACTTCATCTAGTAGCCTTTCATTCAAGAAAATTCTCAACAGCAGAAATCAATTATGAGATCCACAACAAAGAACTTCTTGCAATTCTGGATTCTTTTCAAGAATGGCGTCATTATCTAGAAGGTGCTTTCAATCCAGTCACCGTATATATGGATCACAAGAACCTCGAGTATTTTATATCCGCACGCATATTAAATCATTGTCAAGCTTGTTGGAGCATGTCTTTATCAAGATTCGAGTTCATCATCACTTATCAACCAGAAAAACAACAAGGTTTATTCGATGCCTTGTCTAGATGTTCTTATCTTGCACCAAAAAAAGAAGATGCAGCTTTTGAGCAACAAAGAACGGTTCTCTTGAAGCCGAAGCAATTTCTTCTTTGAGCAATAAAATCAACATTGTCTGTTGATTTAATTTTTCTTAAGCAAGTCCAGTTAAGTATGTCTTCAGACCCTCTTGTTCATAATATCTAGAATAATTCTTCTAAATCTCATGATCTCTCTAAATTTGAATTCAAGAACAACCTACTCTATTTTGAAGGATGCTTATATATTCCTGAAGGAGAAGCACGTTTACGTATTCTTCAAGCTCGTCACGACTTTCGAGGAATAGGATATTTTGGATATAATAAGACTTTGGAGCTGATATCTAGGGATTTTTGGTGGCCTCAAATATGGAAGGCAGTCAAAGATTATATACAATCATGTGATGTTTGTTCAAGATCAAAAACTCCTCGTCATCGACCTTTTGGACTTCTTCAGCCATTACCCATTCCAGAACAATCATGGTCTTTTGTTTTTGTAGACTTCATCACGGATCTTCCAATCTTAGGTTCTTACGACTCTACATTCGTGATAGTAGATCATTTTACCAAGATGGCACAATTTGTACCATGTACAAAATCTATCATAGGTGAAAAAATAGCTAAGTTCTTTCTTGACAATATCTATCGCTATCATGGATTATCCAAGGATATTATATCAGATAGGGGAACTCAATTTGTATCAAGATTTTGGCGGACTCTTTTCAAGATTCTTAAAGTGGATATAAAACTATCTTTGGCATTCCATCCTCAAACCGATGGACAAACAGAGCATGTTAATCAAGTTTTGGAGCAATATTTAAGATGTACCATTAATTACCAACAAGATGATTGGACAACTCTTTTGCCATTGGTAGAGTTTGCTTACAATAACACGGTACATTCTTCTACAAAACAAACACCTTTCTTTGCTAATTATGGTTATCATCCACGACTTGATACTTTTGACTTTTCAAAAGTTGATAAGCTTGCTGTGAAAAATTTGGCAATTCATTTATCAGAGCTACATGCAACGATGAAGGCGCAGTTAAAAGAGGCTCAAGAACAACAAAAGGTCAATGCGGATGTCTATCGAAAGGAACAACCAACATTCATCTTGGGTGATAAGGTATGGCTACTTTGTCGCAATATCAAGACCACTCGTCCTTGTGACAAGTTGGACTATCCAAGGTTGGGACCATTTTCTATTTCTTCACAAATCAATCCAGTTGCATATCGTTTACATCTACCGGAGTCAATATAAATCCATCTAGTATTCCACGTATCTCTTCTTGAACCATACAAGACAGTGGACATACCAAGAAGACGACAAGCTCCACCTCCTACTCTAGAAGTGAATAATAATGAAGAGTTTGAAGTAGAAGAAGTCTTAGATTCAAGGCGGGGCCAAAATAAATTCAAATATCTTGTCCATTGGCGCGGATATGATATTAGTGAATGCACATGGGAGCCAATAAAAAATCTTGCAAATGCAGCAAAGGCGGTGGAGACTTTTCATCGATGACATCCATCAAAATCAAGATGAAAATCTTCTTTATAAAAGAAACAACATCTAGGCAAGATAACATTCTACTTTCAATCCTTGTTCGTAGCTTCTTTGTAGTTGTGACGCTCAGGAGATGGAGAACCAACAACCAGTGGATTCGACTCAAGAGCCTTCATTTGTTGACTTGTCGAACGAGACATTACGATTATCACAACCTTCAAGACGACACAATCGAGATGAAGATCTTCAAAAATGACATGTTCTTCCTCAGATAGATGGCGAGATACAACGCGTTTGGTATCATGATTTGGGAAGGGACTCCCGATGTTTGGTGATTTTACTAGAGGTAGGAACAACTCCTGATGGTGTTCCAAATGTTCTATTCGAAGGAAGTTATGAAGGCCTCAACAATGATCAAATAATTGGGTGGTCTTCCTGCCCTGGTATGGAACACTACCGATGGTTGAGAGGCCCTATCAATCATCTTCGAAGAGAACAAAGATTAGAGTATGTGGCGAATATAATTCGTCGCATCATAGATTTCCTCAACATATGATGACCGCTCCTCGTGGAACTCGTCCTTAGAAGGGAGGATAATGTCACGGACATACTCATATAAACTAGTAATTACAAATACAAATAGGTGGAAGTAAGTAAAAGTAGATAAAAGTAAGTTAATTTTATAATATTTAATATGAAAGCTTCCTAGAAGCTTTATAGATGCTGCTTTGATTTCATAGGTGTCTTTAATTGATTTTTTGGATTAGAAACGTGGTCAATAAGTTGGCCATGTGCCACACATGTTGGTAGCTTGAAGATCAAGCTAACTTTGTGGCCCACACGAAGAAAAACTTGCCTTGTAAGTCAAGGCATGTGTCCCACAAAGTCAACACATATTGGAGGTCCTATAGAACGTCACCACGTAGCTCCTAGTTAGATAATATATATAGAGACTTGAGTGAAGCCCTCTTCACTCTTGTCAACTCCTTTCTTGCTGCTAGTCTTGTTTCAAGGGTCTTTAGTTTTCTTGTCTTTTGGCAATAGCCATTCCTGTTTATCTTTCAATATACATACTTGTTTCTTTATATTTTGTTATCTTTCTTTGAGTGAAGGCTCACTTATCTGAATTTCTTTTTTATCGAGTTTTTATCCTTAACACTAATAAAAATATGTATTCTATTTTAATAATATATAATAAAATTAAAATAGAATAAATATTATCCAATAGACTTTTATTATACATGTATATACTATTCTTATTCACTTTAATCTAATAATATATATATATATATATATATATATATATTTATATTTATATTGATTCATTGTAGACTTAAAATTTTAATAAATTAGGAGGGTATTTACAAGTTGTTATATTCAGCATGCACAATGATTTAGTTTCCATGGACTGAAAACACATTAGGAATAAAGTAAGTTGGATATAATGATTAATGTCAATTATTTTTAATGCTTAAACCAGTAACTAATGAAAGTTCATCACTTGATTGAAAGGTATATACTACTGGCATAATTGAAAATATTATATGATATTAGGTTTAAACTCATCTTTTTCTTTATTTCGTAACATAAAAACTGAGTTGTGGAATATAATTGTCACATTTGCATTCTTTGGGCAATTCTAATTGTTATTTTGCTTGTTACAATACTGTGGATGAATTTTGGTGAATTTTGCTTGTTACAATAGTTTTGACTCTCCGACCCATCCAAAATTCATCCACAGTATTCATTCAGCAAACATCAATCCTTTAAATCCATCTTTCTATTCCACACGTTTAACCCACCCATAACTTTCATCCACGAACCCATCCAATGAAATCCCGCACATCACTCCAACTGAAAGAGGTGTTCATCGACATATCCACATCATGGATGTATGAACAAATCCACGCACCCAATCAGATATTCATTCATCCGTGTTTCGCGCTCATTCAAGGGAAAGCGTTGCGCAATCCAACGTGTCTAGTGGACCTTTTTCCAACGAAATAGAAGGCTGATCTCTAAATTTAGTAAACGGTGATTCATCCACCTGCTTGCACACATTCTCTAACAAACAAACACAATCTTCGGCTCCACTCTCCGTGTAACAGCACAACAACAGCTTATTCGAAAGCATTCGCCTCTCCTCCTCCTCAGATCATGAGGATTGTGGCCACAGGCTTCGTCTGGTTTTGTCATTTGGTTTTAAAAACACACAAGACCAACTATACTCACTCACTCACTCACTCGCATTCTCCCACACAACCATCACAACCACAGCAGGATGGTGGTTCGAGGAGGACACTGTAGCAAGAAGCCAAAGGCGCTCACTCACTCTCACTCAGTCCATCACTAGAATAGAAGAGGCCAATCACTAGATCCTCTCTGGTGAGTTCTTTACATAGTACCGCCTACCTGGCTGTAAAGTGTGAAACTGGCCGGAGTCGGTAACCCGGCTTCGGAACTTACCTCCTCGGAAATTCCACCTGCCCTGGGCCAGAGTATCCTGAATACGCTCGTGAGGAAGAGAGCGAGAGAGGGAGAGAGACTCACGCACACACACGCACTCACTCACTCTCTCTCTCTCACACACACACGAACAAGCTTGCTGTCGGAGAGGGAGTTTACCCGAGCGGGGCGGCTCTGGAGGAATGTTCACGCATCAAGCTTCGTCGATCTGCGTAGCTGTGACCCCGGGCTAGTTTTCCGCTTCCGGTAAGGCTGCCTCATCAACGTTGGTCTTCGCGCTCTTGTTGGCGTCTTCATTACTGAGGTTCGAATGACGGTGAGAGGCGTGGTCGTGATTGCAGGTATCTGAGAGCTTGAGAGTTGGAAAGGTTTTTTTTCGCTGGTGGTGCTAGTGTGTGATACGGGCTTTGTCGTGCGGCTTTCTCTATGATTCAATTCATCTGATTTGATTGTTGTTTATTTATTTTATGCTTATTTATTCGTTTAAGAGGTCTGAATGGTGGTTTTCGGAGGGAGGATGTTCATGTTTGGTGTGTGGTAGTTTTGCCACCGAGTGCTCACATTGAATGGTTAGGGTTTTTTGGTGTAACGTTGTGTTGCCTTCGAGCAGTGGCGAAGCTGTCGATGTCTTTTTAACTCACCTACGCACCTCGGAAGTTCTCTGCCGTAATGCGGTGGTTTAGCGAGTGTTGTCGCACTACACTATGCGGTGTTGTATCAAGTGGTTGCATTGATTGAATTGTTGCCCTCCTAAGAGTGCAGGTAGCCAGTGTGTTTAGGCTCTCTTTCTAAGTAGGTTATTCACCTGCATTGTACTATTTGGTTATGTTTTTTCAACCAGGATTAGTATTCAACATTTCCAATATACTGTCGATTCTACTTTAATCAACTCTTGGATGTGAGTACTCCTTGGTCTTTCTACTCGGTCTAGTTGAGAAAGGCCAATGTATCTGTCGTATTCGTGCAGTATGTCGTTGTTGAACCTGATCTGACCTGACCTGAGCTGCAGTTTACGCTCAACCTCATCAGACCAGACTTATAATCTGTCTAAATTTTTTCCTTCAAAAATTTGGAAGCTCGAATTTGACCTTAAGTTGAGTGCAACTGATGGAAGTTTGACGAAATTTTTTGCTGGTGAAACCAGATCCATCTGCTTGCCATTTTCTTCTCCTGCTGCATTCTCATTGGGGAATCTGCTCTATCTCTGGAATCTCCAGGCTGTTTCCTGTTTGAAGCGTCACTCTGATTGAAAGCTCAGGTAATAAGTTCACAAAGGCTTGTGGTTCACTCATAATTTGCACTTCAGGTTACGTTCTTTAGACAGTGTTACATTATTCAGCAGCCGGATCTGCTCATCAGATCATATTTCTGTCGTTAAAGCAGAGTGTCTTTGCTTTTGTACAGGAGGAAACCTTCATGGTATCAAGGGTTTATTCCCTCCTTTAGGATGACCAAATCACAAGTTCTTGAACGCAACGCTCCTATTGTTCTTCCTGTTAAAACATATGTGGTAATGAAGAATATCAGACTTGAATCCATCATCCTACCTATAGAAACGTTGATGTAGGTTCGCTATTTCTCCATAGTTGTAGATTGCGGTGCGAAAGGACAATGATTCAGTGCAACCAAGAGATTTTTTTCGCTTTACAAAACTTCAGCAATTGCAGGTGTGCGAGGAAGATACATGAAATTGTAGGTAACTTATAGGTATAGACATAGTCAAGGTAGATGCCTAGCTCGTCTAGATAGTGTAAGCTAATGAGCACGGGTGAGAAGGAAAATTTAATTATGGGGATTAATTCTGAAGAGAGAAAGCTCTGAATGTTGCAAGGTCGATCTTAAACTTGGAGCCGTTTTGAACCACGACTGAGCAATCAAGTAGGTATTTTTGCCTTCCGCCTTCAGAATTGGTTGTATTATTTGTGTATGCAGGTTTATTGACGAAGAGATTTGTTACTCTCAACTCCTGGCAACATCAGAATGTAACCTACCAAGACATTCTTTGGATCTGTTAGCAGGTAATGGGTGAGATTGCCTTAAGTGGGCAGCGGTTTAGGCGTATCCCACATCCTTACTCTGGGCAGTCGGCAGACGTTGAGAGTTTGGTGAGTTTCCATATTCACCTTACGACTTGCTGGTGGATTTTATATATCATTTACTCCTGTCGTAGAATGACGATTCGTGATTCTTGTCTGCAAGACTACCATTCGACAGATGGTTCCAGGTCCGAGATTACGAAACAAATAATTCACTGTTGCCTTCTCAACTATATATTGAATTTATAAGATTAGCTACTATCTTTTGTTGGAAAAGATGCCCTCAAGGTCTTGTCTTCCCTTCGTGATCGTCCTAGCTACGATTGAATAACGTTTTGTGCTACCACTTGTCGACCCTGGCAGCTAAGTGACAATGTGGAGCCATGGCCACATCTCACGGAGCTGCTTCAAAACTACACCGCAGATTGGGTGAAGGATGAAAGCAAGTATGGACACTATGAAAGCGTGCCAACCCCTGTATTTGAAAACCAGATATTTGAAGGACCTGACACAGATGTAGAGACAGGTAAGTGTAATTATGTGTTGAGAATCTCCCTTCTATGTGACCGTTAACGTAGGATTGTTGCATCAAGACTGCAATTTGCGATTGCTAATGGTTAGGTTGTTACATGCAGAAATCTTTTTCATGTCCATACTTGCTACTTATTAAAACATGCTTGATGTGCCATCCTATTAATGATATGCTTTATGGTAATAGAGCTGCGCCTTTCAAATATTAGACTTGGAAGATATGGAGATGCCACAGACGATGAAGACCCAACGACGTCAGGTAGATACTCTGGAGGATTGTTTTCCGGCCGATTTTCTGGGAGGTCAACAGGAAGTGATGCTCCAGATTCAACCGTTACCAAAGCATCGAAGGTCTTTCCTCTCACCTGATCTTCGAAACATAATGACATGATCGCGAGGTGCATTAGAGTTCGCAGAGATATTTCTTAAAAACAAAGTGAATGTTCATGTTTTGTTACATTCCCACGGAGTGAGAAAACTATAGTGTCAGGTGGAAAACTTCTGTTACATGTTGAGGTAAGGTTACTGGTTTATTTGAATTGTTGTTTTCTTATCGATATGAATTTACTCCAAGTTCTTTTAGTGTTAAGTAAATTAAACATCTATCCAATTTCAAAATATCATGAGGAAAAGATTGCTTCTTGCCCCACAATACTCAAGCATATCAAATTTAGAAAGATGTCGCAAGTGAACATCCGATGTTTTGATACCTTTACATCACAGTCTGTATGAAAGTGGACTTACACTTTCTCCAATAATAAAGATATCATCAAATAATTGAGATCATTATTGTTCCTCAAGCTGAGTGAAAAGGTTATCACAGAATGGAATCACAAACTCAATCTCATTCAAAAGGAATGACGTTGCTTAACTACTACAAAGGTTTCATCTTTCGGTTCTTTTCTTTTTTCTGGCTATTTTTTTACTATTCTTTTACCAATTCTTATGCTCATCTATATTTGTAGAATATTTAGAAAGCATGCTTTTCATTCATGTCTGTTTGACGGTTGTACGAGTAATTAATTGGAGTATGTCTCATCATTCGAATTTTTTTATTGATCTCTTAGATGGTGTTCTCAGCGTCGTAATATTGTGTCGTTTGTACAGCACTACGGTGGGGCTCCGCTACTCCCATATGAGCCCGTTTTTAATTGGCTAGCAGCGAGGGCATCTGTATACGGGCAAAGGACACCAGAGATTCCGACAGCACTATCATCGAGGTCTTGTGCTCATTTTCCAGATCTTCTTTGAAGTAAAAGCTTGCAGTGCTCACGTTACCCTAAAATCTGCAGCTCTTTGCATTTGAACCTCATGTGCCCGTAGGCGTAGTTCCTATTTGTGAGTTTCATATTGTACGTCGCATGTGAGACGGATGATGGATTAGTGCGTGGAGGCCTACAAGGGATATAATGGTCTCGAATCTGACATTGCTACACCGTATGATTTTTGATTCTGGGTGATTGCAGTGGTGGGCTGAAGATTTCTGTGAAGATCGCATCTCTCAATTTTCAGGCTGGTCTTGTTGGTAAGATTTGATTTACAGAGGCTATTGGCTAATCCTAATCAATCTACTGTTAAATTGAATTTGGAGTTGCAGTTTTTGCTTCCATCGTTTTGATGACTTGGAGGTTTAAATGTGGTATGATCCAGAGCCCTGGTATGGTACAATATGTCTTTATCACCGGGAGAAGCGAGAAAAGCTATCAGAGGATTTCCACTTTCGATGCTTACCACCAGAGTTTCAAGATGTAAGATTCTATGATAGCTCGTTCTTTTGGTAAAAGTGTACGCTTTGTGCTTCGAAATCACGACTGTGGCGAAGGGACTCAAATCAGCTGTTTTGGACATGTATGTGCAGGAGGCTAGTAATTACCCAAGAAAAGCCGTTTTCTCACTTGAAGCGCCATCACCAGCGATCTGCTTGCTGGTGCAGCTTGAGAAGCATGTTACAGAAGAGGGGGGCATCACTCCTTCTATCTACACGCGTAAAGAACCTGTGAGTGTGTCTTATTCGTGTTTGTATAATAAACAGGAAATCTCTGAACAGTATTTATCACGTTTCCTGTGGCTCTTGCTACTTACGGTAATGTAATTTTATCATATGAAAACTTCAGGAACACAGACGGTTTTGCTCTCTGAAGTTTAATTGGTTCTTTGATATGAGTCCGTACTCCACAAGTTCTTTAACTAGATTAATTTGTACATCTTTGCTACAGATTTTTATCCCGTGTGGATCTTCTCCATTGTTTCTGTACATTGGTTGATCCTTCCTCTCCTTTCGAAGAACATGAGATGCTCTAATTTTCTGCTCAGAAAACGAATTATCTTAGATCGCTTTGCTTTAGTTTTCGAAATGCACAGATTTGACATGGAATAGAGTTAGTTAACACCAGTTTGTCTTTCTAATTGAAGGTACATTTGACAGAAAGAGATAAGCAAAAACTGCAAGTATGGGCAAAGATGATACCATTTCGCGAACCATTCGCTTGGTCAATCCTTCCTCTATTCGACGCAATTGTAACTGGAGGTGTAGGAGGCTTTTCGTCTCCAACGAACAGCCCTTTGCCTCCAGGCGTTTTAGGATCTGCTCTTATGGAAACATCCTTGGATTCAGATGGTAGGCTGATTGCCGACTCAAAGCCTGAATCTGTCAGTGTTCCAGTACTGGTTGACGTGCCAACCCTTCATCGTGTAAAAGAAAATTATACAGAGGAGATGCTTCTGGTAGGTCTTGTGTCTGGCTTCATTCAGTACCTTATTTTAATCGTTTTTTGCTTTACACCACCCGTTTAATACTTGGTTACTGCACCTTATACATAACGGCATCTATTTTCTTACAAGGTATGTTTGGTTGCAAGGTCGAACATCCCAGCGGCCAATCAAGTATGCTTTCATTTCAGGAGCCAAAGCGTAAAGTGCAGAAGCCAGTGAAAGCAACTCTAAGGCTTGAAATTGAGAGGCTGGGCAGTGATGATCATGAAACGGACTGCATCTCTGAGTGCGGCAGTTTCAATAATTACTCTTTTGATGCTGATTCTCATTCTCTAGGAGCATCATTCTCAGGGCGTTCTGCTCAAGGCCTAGAATCCACGAAGACGTTTCACAATGGACACCAGAAAAGTAACTCTGGACATCGTGACCTACAAGCAGGCATTGGAAGTAGTCTTGATTTGCGACGATCAGAGGTGCTTTTTTGCAATATTTGGGAATCTTTTTCATGAAGGGAGTTAGACTGGAATCAAAACTCTTCTCTTGCTATATCACGTGTAAAAAAGACATCAATTATGGTACAACAAAATAATCGCGAAAGTTGCTAGCGCAGTACATCTTAGTCTCCTATCTATTGTTTTATTAGCATTCTTTTATATGCTTGAGGATGGTTTTACTTGCGAAAATGTTTTCATTTGTTCAAAGCAGAGTGCTCCGCGGCATTTAATTACTGTTTTGTATTTGTTTGTTACAGTTTCGTGCCGTTGAATTTCGACTGGGTCCGAAACCTGAGCCATTATCTCAGCTATTGCATCTCCTCTATGTGTATCCTCAATCTGTTACGCTTAACCGAAAGCGGAATCTTTTTATTCGGCTGGAGCTTAGGGTGGATGATGGTGATATTCGGAAGCCACCCCTTGAGGTAACGTCATCGTTCAAACAAAACAAGTATGATCTTCAGTGTAAATATGATGTTTACAAGTCTTCATTGTGCCAAGACATGGTTTCGACATCTTTGGTGGGGTGTTTATGTGCAAAACAGGCTCTTTACCCTAGGGATGCAGACAGCTCAATGCAGAAGTACGTACACACTCAAATTGATGCTAATACAAAGACGCCTCATTTTCATGACGAATTCAAAGTCCAACTTCCTACCAATCTGTCCCCGGACCACCACCTCCTTTTCACTTTCTTCCATGTGGAACTTCAGACGAAACTAGAAGCACCAAAACCAGTGTGTATCTATTTTTACATTTTCTCCACTGCTGGCACTGTTTTACTTTGTGATTCTTTGTACTTTTGCTTCTGAGTAGCATTTAAGATTGTATTTTGTATGGTATTAAGATAGGGGCAATAGTTGATTTCTTATAGGTAGTTGGTTATTTCAGTTTTCTCTAAATGTTGTTAGAGGTTTTGTCTTTCTCAGGTGATGTTAATGCACTCATTTATCCTCATCGTCCTTTTTAAAGGATGCACGTTACTGAGTTATATGATAAATGACCAGTATTTTGATTCGTCACTATTGCAGGTCGTTGTAGGATACGCGGTTCTTCCGCTCTTATTCGCTTCTCAGTGAGTCCTTAGTCCCATTTTGTTCAACCAAAGGGTTCAAATGGGTTCTCTAGCGTTGTTTCACTAGTTGTAATGTCTTTGTTGTTGGTTTTATCTGCAAGTCTTGCCTCCTACCATTTCTTGTGACCTGACACAACTCCTAGGACATCTTTTTAGTCTGGAATTATCACATGCCTCTGCATATGTATCCTAAATTATCTCATGTTATAAATATTACTTCGCCATGTTACTGTGCATTATAGAATGCATGCATTTTCAGTCTTTTGATCCGTGGTGTTATTGCTGCAGAGTTATCCGGTTGGACGGTACCCTGCCTATTGCGAAGGAGTTGTACCCAAACTATTTAAAAGATAATGTGAAGGTAAGTTGTGCCACAGCATGTGTTACATGCTAAATTCTGTAGGTACAGTTAGTCCTAGTCACATGTACTTAACCATATTGTATTGTTTGAAGGAGATTAAACTATCCTGAGTTGGTAGTCCTTACATGCGAGCCTTTGATTGGTGCAGGATCGATTGGAATATCTTGATGATGGCAAAACAGTCTTTAAATTACGGTCCCGTCTGTGCTCGTCTCTTTATCCTGTGAATGAAAGGATTAGGGATTTTTTCTCTGAATATGACCGTCATATTTTGCGGACAAGTCCATGGGGAAATGAACTCATGGAGGTATGTTACATAAGCTATCTTCTGATCAGATTCTTGAATGCGTCACACTCGTCACACTTTGTAACATCTGCATAATTATTTGATGTTTTCTACAATATTATTCCTCTTTGTAATAGTTAAGGAAGTGTTGAGACTCATAGAATTGCTTAGGTCTAAGAATATTCCAGTTAGTATGTATTCATTTTAGATTCCCAAGCAAATTTTTTTAATTAAAACCCAAATGCCTTACCGTGTGCTAGCACTGTAATGTAAGAATCTGCAGGCAGTTAATGCATTGAAGAATGTCGAAGCATCTGCTATGCTTCAGTTTCTTCAACCATGTCTGAATATGCTGCTTCGCATGATTGGTGATGGAGGAGAAACGTTGCAGGTGATTCATGGTTCTTTTGGACCCATCATATTTCATTTTTATTCTTGGGCAAAACGATTCTTATTTTGTGTTGGCTATTTGAATTGTGATGAAATACGTAACTTTTTTAGATTGAAGGATGATTCTTGTGGTCTGTGTTTTTTGTCAATACACTAGTCGGGGATTTCTGATCTTCAATTTGGGTCGTTTGTAGTTCTTTTCTATTGTAATCATGAGATACTGGCGTCCTTTGTTAACGATTTTTTGGTACTTGCTCTGGCGGTTTCTCAGGTTGCTGCATTTCGATCAATGGTTAATATAATCACAAGGTTCGGGGTCTCCACATGCACTATACAAAAGTTGGGTGAAGCAATGTTGCATGAACTCGAGCCTTCTTTTATTTCGCCAAGTTTTCTTAATTATTATAATATGAGCAGGGTACAAGGAGAAACATCAGATGGAGACGAACGCAACCGATATCTTGTCCAGTATTTGGACTACGCATTTGACGATTTTGGTGGACGCCATGATCCTGTGTATCCTGGTCTCTGCAGTGTTTGGCGTAGTCTTGCTCGCAGCAAGGTACGAAGATCAAGCATTGGGATCTTTTTAAATTTACGAGGAAATTATTTAAATCCTTGTTTTGTGGAGCCCTTACAAATTTATTGTCATGCAGGCAAAAGGCTACAGAGTTGGACCTGTGTATGATGACGTGCTGTCAATGGCTTGGTTCTTCCTTGAGTTGATTGTGAAGTCCATGGCACTTGAGCAATCTCGTACTTACAGTGAAACTCTGCCTCCAGGTTTGTATTTAGCTCGTCACTCCCTCTCTGTCCATGAAACTGGTCGTAAGCTGAACATCAATCAGATGCTCACGTTTCTAGTCTAATTTAAAAATCATTAAGGATTATCATTGACAATGAATTTATCTCTGGACTTTACACAAGATATGTGGAAGGCATGAAAAACATCATTAATTGATGCATCGCTACTTATATTGAAGATTTTCTGAAGTAGTTCTAGAAAATTGTGCAGGTGAAGAGTTGCCACCATTACAGCTCAATGATGAGGTCTTTAAAAGCATTGGGCAGCTTTATGATTGTCTGTTGACGGAGGTTCAGGAGAGAGGAAAGAAGGGGTTGACTCTAGCCAACAAACTCAACAGTAGTTTGGGTTTCTTTTGTTTCGATCTTCTCTCTGTTATTGAACCACGGCAAGTCTTTGAATTGGTGAGTCAAGCAACCATAAAACCTTTTAATTTAATTTAATTTATTTAATGTGCTAGATTGGTTGTAACCCAACGAACCTTTCCAACTCTTGAAAGCAGTTTTTTTGATTGGGGGTGTGCCGTAGAATGCCTTTGTTTTAGAAGATGATGGTTTATAGAAAATCTTAGAAAGAATTTGTGTTCTATAATTCCCAATAATTTTCGCACTCTAATATCTTTTGCTTTACTGCTATGGAGATGTCGACTTGCTCTTACAATATTTTGAAGTTAGAAGGATCAAGATTGAGTACGTAACATTTTGTGCAATCAACGCCGATCATTTGTGACACTTTCAAAACATAATCAGTCTGTTGATATGAGTTTTTTATGGTGTATACGCAGGTTGCGCTTTACTTCAGCAAATTTTGTGGAGTTTGTGAAACAACAATTCATGAGTACAAGCTCAATTTTCTTAGTATCATCTGTGATCACGATTTATTTGTTGAAATGCCTGGCAGAGATCCTACCGAGAGGTTTGTAGTTGCACGCTTGAATTGCTCGGCTTTACACTAGTTCCTGCAAATGGATACTCTCTGCTCATTGCTGTATGTTTGTAGAAGACACACTATTTCCCATTAACTTGTGTCCTCATATCTCAAACTAGGGTTGTTGTCCTGACTGGAAAAATTACCATTTTTCTATCCTACAGTTCATCAAATTGTCATGCTATTATTGTGGTGTGGCTTGAATGATGTTCTAGTCTATTTGTCTGATTTGATTGTGTGCATAGAACAGCTACTGTGAATCAAACTGATGCAGGTGCGGTGCAGGAATTATTTGGCATCGATGTTGATGCAGGAGCTCTTCATCACTTGGGACCATGAGGATCCAGCTTTAAAGGCCAAGGTAAATAGCATGGTTGACAATGATCGTCAGAAATGAATGCTTAGTCATAAATACTGAATGGTTTTGCAGCGATGGAAACAACATATGTTGAATTATTTTGTGGCATCAAGAAATTCTGAGGGCTTTTGGACATCTTACATATTGTCCTTTGTGCTGCATTCCTGAAGACTGTGTTTGATTTTACTATGTTACATGTACTGTTTACTTTTCTGTCTGTTCACCAGGCATGCCGAATACTTGTACAACTCCTTTGCAAGCATGAGTACGACCTACGGTATCAATCACTCGATGACAAGTTGTATATTGCTCAACGTTACTTCCCTTTAGTTGGTCTGGTAAGCTGACATGCATTTTTCTAGTGTTCTTTCGTGCAGCATGTCTACAGTTGTAATTCTTTGATGATTCTTCTTCTAATGTATACATCAACTTGCTTCTAATGGACTATCAATTTTGCTGTTGTAGCACACTTGTCGCAGTGAGTTGTAGCCTTTGATCCTTGCACACATTTACAGGGTGACAGAGTACTAGAATTGATCTTTTCAGTGGTTGATAGGTCTTGATTCTTTTTTGGGACTGGACTTCGCAGATTTTGGATGAGATGCCAGTATTTTATGCCTTGAGCTCCTCAGAGAAGCGTGAAATCCTGGTGTGTGTGCTCCATATTTTGCGCTATTTGGATGATGGCTCTCTTGTAAAGTCCTGGCAGCAAAATATTGCTCGAACAAGGCTGTTTTTTAAGCTGCTGGAAGAATGCCAAGAACTGTTTGAGGTTAGACCTTATTCATTCTTTTCTGTCCAACATAAATATCAGTCAGTGAGCATGATCTTTCAGGTAGTAGGGCTTGAGACCCAAAGGATTTTGGCCAAAAAATATTTGTTTCGTGTACGTTTGTTGCAAGTTTCATGGCAGTTTGATCACTTGTCTAGATATTACAGTACAGTAGATAGTATTGTCAAATTAGGTCGACTAAGTGATTGCATCATTATGTTTGTGCATACTAATGTGATTTTAAATTCACTTGTGCAGTACAAAAAAGCAGGAGCTGATGGCTTGATGGGTGCAATGCCTGTAAATGAGCAAGGAAAAGGGACTCTTTGTTATTCTGAGAAGCTTTCCCCTGCAGTTAATCATTTTCTTTCTGAAGCTTCACGACAAGATGTCAGAGTACGTCTAATGTGTGTAATGTGTGATATTTCTAGTCGCTGATTCTCAAGCTTCAGGTGTTAGTAGTTGTCATTGGTTTTCCTCTATAATGGTCACACCTAATTATCTTGTACAAACACAATGTGCATGCTAAAAGTCTGTGGAAACTTCTTTCCTTCTGTCATTTTTGATGTATAAGTCAATTCTTGCTGATCTCGACGGGATTGAAAAGAAACCTCGTTAGATTAAATAATTTGGCTATCGAATTCAGTGTGATCTATAGTGTGCGTGATTATTCATATTGTTTCCAGATTTTGTTGCAGGTAACCAAGAGTTCTCCTGGTCCTCAATGGATATTTCCACAGGTAAGTCCAGACGCCAGCACATTCTGGAAGAGAGTAAGCCCGGTTTCAAACAGCCCAAGCAGCCCAAATCAGCCTCATTCTTTGCGCGAAGCTTTGGCGCAAGCTCAATCAGCAGGAAGAGGGGCAGGGATGGCTCTCAAAGAGAGCTTACATCCAATGCTGCGACAGAAATTGGTCAGTATGGCTACTTTTTAGTACACGAGCTTTTGTAGGTGGAATTTTTAAGAATCTGGGTTTTAGCAGTTGTAGGTTGGACCTTGGTATGCGACCTGTCATTTGTATCTTGTGTTGATACGGTTAGCCTTTCAGGACCTGTGGGAAGAGAATCTCAGCGCTTCGGTAATGCTCCAACTTCTCGAAATTGTTGCGAAATTTATGGACGCCGCATCAAGTCAAGCTATTGCTACGGATTATACCAAGCTTGATTGTATCACAAGCATCATCAGTGGATTTCTAGGACGCAGTCAGCCCCTGCCTTTTTGGAAAGCTTTCTTTCCTGTGTTTAACAATTTGTTTAGTCAATACGGGGCTACTCTGATGAGCCGGGATAATGATAGATTTTTGAAACAAGTTGCGTTCCATCTTCTGCGACTCGGAGTTTTTCGGAATGAAAGCATTCGAAAGCGAGCCGTTGTTGGTCTTCAAATTCTTATTCGAGTGAGTTTTCTGTCTCCTTGAACTACCCGTAAACTAAATTGGCATATTTTGGTAACATGTTTAGATGTTCGTTTAGGCATGAAGAATTTGCTGTAATTTACAAGCATTAGTAGTTTTACTTGTAACATACAGAACAATCATGAAAGCCCAAAGTGCCATGTTTGTTTATGTCAGTGTATTGATCTTTGCTCTTTGGTGCAGACTGCCTTCCATTATTTCCAAGGTCTATCTCGTTTACGTGTGCTGCTCACCATCACGCTATCAGAGCTTATGTCGGACGTTCAAGTGACTCAACATCGAATGGATGGATCCTTGGAGGAAAGTGGAGAATCACAGCGTCTTCGCAGATCCCTGCGACAAATTGCCCAAGAAAACATTAGTACAGATCTTCTTCGTGAAAGTGGACTTCCTGAAGGCACACTCTCAGCATTGCCAGATGGAGGATGTGAGCAGATCTGGAGCTGGGCTGGTGTTCATGAACTTTCCAACTCTCTGCTTAAAGCTGTTGAGGCTGCAGTTGGACATGCTCTCCTGGTACATGATCTCAGTTTTCAGTAAAATCCTCAGATGCTTAAAACGACGGTGTCCCATTGACATTGCCCTCGCATCCCACTTAAGGACATGGGACATCTCTTAGACTTGATAAGATTGAGATTTGTTGTTGAGTACCACTTTGTGAGTGACAGTTTTTCGTCACTTGTGTAATGTTTGGCTTTGGGGAATTTTACACTGCTGTAGGGTTAGATTGCTCAACTTGAAACTCGTTTATTGTTGTGATTTGGTGCAGGGCCCAGAAGTCATGACCGCTGACAAGTATGCGACTGCAGAGGCATACTACGGTTTGGCGAGGGCATACTCCAATGTACCTGACCTACACATTATGTGGCTTCTTTATCTTTGCGAAGTTCATCAAGGAAACCAATCTTACGCAGAAGCTGCTCAATGTGCAGTTTCTGTTGCAGGTGTTGTCATGCAGGTATATATATACGAATACAACTTATTAAACGTTTAATATTTGAAAGGTTCTTTAAGACATTTACAATATGCAAATAGACCTGGGTGTATTCTGATCTTTAGTAGAGTTTCGTGACAATTAATTTTTATTGGCTAAATGTTTGAAATTCAAGGCATGAACGGATTTTTTAGTAGGTTATTAGTGGCTGGAAATCTTTTTAGTATCACATATGTTTTTTTGTTTATGACAGGATTTAAGTCAAGTTTTCAAAACTACTCTTTGCCTTAATCCATAAGTACGTCGCTTCTGTACTAGACATCTGATTGAGCATCAAATTTGGGTGTCCTGCGATGTTTGTTAAAAGGAAGTAGACGTTCTATTGTGCCAGCCTTGTTGGTATTTTGTGGTGGTAACCAGACACCTGCAATTGGGCGTGTAGGCTATAGTAAGTAAAGGAGATCACATGTGGGGCAAGGAGCATGTAGAGGCTCTGCGGAAAATATGCCCTATGCTCACCGGTGCTAGTTTTGGAGAAGCTGCCAGTGCTGAAATAGAGGGCTATGGTTCATCAAAGCTCACTGTAGAATCAGCCGTGAAGTATCTTCAGCTTGCTAACAAACTTTTTGTTCAGGGAGAGCTTTTCCATTTCTGTGCTGGTAAGACCTGCACCTACTTTGGTCGTATATCGTTAAACCCTCGTAGGTTTTATAACGAGTATCCTGATCCTGTTTTGCATCTTTTCACAGTTGCTAATGTTCTCATGCTCACTGAGGATCTTTTAATTCAGAAATTTTGGAGCTTATCATCCCTGTTCATAAAGCAAGGCGCGCCTACGGACAACTTTCGAAATGCCACACTTCTCTGACCAGCATTTATGAGGCCATAGTAGAGCAGGAGTCTAGTCCGATCCCCTTCTCAGATGCAACTTACTATCGTGTGGGATTTTATGGTGAAAGTTTTGGCAGTCTGAATGGCAAGGAGTATGTCTACAGAGAGGCAAGAGATGTGCGATTAGGGGATATCATGAGGAACTTAGGTAACATTTACGAACCTAGAGTTATCGAGGGAAAACAGTCCTTGCATATTATTCCTGATTCTCGGCAAGTGAAACCTGAAGACCTTCATGCAGAGATCTGCTACATGCAAATTACATCTGTTGAGCCTGTTACTGAGGACGATATCTTGGAGAGTAGGCGAGATAGGCACTCTAGTAAGTCGGTTACAACAGTGAGTGCTCGGGTATTCAATCGTTTCCTGTATGATACTCCTTTCACGAAAAATGGCAAGTCACAAGGAGGTCTTGAGGATCAATGGAAAAGACGTACTGTGCTATGGACAGAGGGATCCTTCCCTGCTCTTGTGAATCGCTTGACAGTCGTTAAGTCGGAATCTCGTGAATTTTCTCCAATTGAAAATGCAATAGGCATGATCGAAACCCGCACAGCTGCATTAGCAGGAGAACTCGATGACAATCGATTAAATGAAGGTGACCACCCGTCTCGGTTGCAAAGTCTGCAGCGGATATTGCAAGGGAGTGTTGCCGTGCAGGTAATTATTTGGAGTGTGTAATTTTCGGAAATCTGCATAATGTTTACCAGATCTTTAATAAGTGTAATTTGTGCTCTTTGTGGAATTCTTTATTATGATCGTGTGGGATGCTTCAAATGTGGGAGAATCGTAGAGAATTTACCTTTGCTTTGTCGACTTATCGCAAGTGGGCATGGTGCGGTTGTTATTTTGCAGGTAAACAGTGGCGTGCTTGGGGTATGTGCTGCTTTCTTCTCTGGAGAACCTTCAACAAGATTGAGCGCGCAGGATCTGCAGGAACTCATGGCAGCACTCATGGAGTTCATGGCTGTGTGCAAGAAAGCATTACGAATTCATGCACGTCTCATAACAGAAGAGGATCAAGAATTCCATTCTCAACTTGTGATTGGGTTTCAATCTCTCACAGCGGAGCTGTCACACTTCATTCCTGCTATTTTATCTGGGTTCTGACCTCTGGAACGTGATTTTGTGTGTTCCCTTAGATCGGTGTTTGTCCTAGGCTCATGACATGGTTGATAGCTGAAGGAGTTGGTGTTAGTGATACTTTCTCTTGACTTATTACTTTGCTTTAGGAGGTGATAATCTTGCCTTCATGAATTCCTCATTCTGCTGGTGGTCTGTGCTAGTTTACATCTTGAAGAATTGGTGATGTCAGCAGATATTTTACTCTTTCATTATGAAGTCGGCCAAAGTCATAGCTGCCTACGATTATACCTGTGCCTGTAGATTTGAAAAACTACCAGTCTCTTCCTAATTCTAGTCTCTACATTACAGGCTGTATTTATAGCCTTCATCTATTAGTTGACAGGTCCATGTAGAATATGACATACGGCGGTGCACAATCACAAGACACGTTGGTGCCAAAAGCATGCTACCTGAATGGTTCTCAGGAATCCTTGGATGTAATATACCATTCAAGAGTTTATTTAATTGTTGCATGAAAGCTCATTATTTCTTTCTTTCAAATGATGCAATATTTAGTATCATGTACTAAGAGAAGACTGAGGTAGAGCAGACTTGAAGCCAACAAGCAGCCATACTCTAATTTCATGGCCCTCCTCTCTTTGTATCAAAACATGCAAAGCATAAAAGAAGTTGCCCTTAATTTGACACAGAATCTCAATGCAACATTCAAACGTAGACATCCTTGCAACACCATACTTAAATCAAGTAGACATTGCAATATTCATAATGTTCCACAAATTCAATTTAATACAAGTATAACTAGTGACTACAACATACTTTGGCATATCAATCTGTGCTACTTTCTATAATAGGAGATCCTAACATCAACCACTCTAATCAAATTTAAATGTAACCAATTAACATTATACAATGACAACATGACTCTAGTGCGATATTAGCCTCAACTTACATTATAAATTACAGCCAAGCCAACAACATATTGTCTCTTCTATTCTAATTTCTTTTTATAATCTCCTTAAAATATATATATATATATATATATATATATATATATAACATACAAAAGATATACTAATCATTTGCAACACTCTAATTCAAACATTTAATATACTACCTATAAAAATTTAAAAGAAAATAATTTAAAAAGATTTAATATTAGGCTAATAACAACTTTTGACTTAAATGATCTACAATTTATTAAATGCCAACTTTTAATGATCTTATTGTATCAAACTATAACCTTAGACAATTCTCTTTCAACACCCAAATTTAAAAGACAAGTTCTTTAATTTCTTGAAGAAGTATAAGATGAATTCTTTGGAGAATTGGAGTTTTCTTCACATCTTCTAACTTAGATCCAAAATACATCATAGATCTAAGCTAAAATTAATAGAAGACAAGATACACAAAGAGACAAAAACCAATATTCTCTTCTTTTATCTTTTTTTCCCTAAGAATTCTATTTGATTTGAATATGGATTCTAGTTCTTTTCATAGATCCGTCTAGAATCTAAAATTAACCGGTTCATAAATTATCTAGCTTCAAGCCTTCTAACTTTTGCTTTCTTTCCATCCTCTGTGCTCCTACCAAATATAAGTTTCATGCCAATTTAAGCAATATCTCTAATCATCAACTTGTTAGCACTTTTTTACATTCTAAAGCTTTCAATTTTACAAAATAATACCTTGGAAGAGAACCATGCTCATAAGATTAATACCTTGAGAAAAATCCATGCTTAAGAAAGGTGGTTTCTAGACGTTGTGGAATTTATAGTTGTCTTTAGAATACATGAAAAGAAGAAAGGAGCATGTTGCCTCTAATTAATCTATCTAAGATAAACTAAGGGCCTACTATCTACTATTCTACTCTACCAACAAGCTACCATCTTCAACTCATTACTAGATCTTTTCTATTGTCTTATCCTCTATCTATAAGACATATGGTAAGTACTATTGAATAGGTCACAAATTTTGGCATGATGACTAATCTTAGTACAATAGAACTTGTAGACGCTTATGCCAAGAAGCTACCTTCATCATTGGTGAAGCTTCAGTTCTAATTCATTCTTTAAATCTATTCAACAATATAAAAAATAATCTACTCTATTTCTTCAAAACTAACAAAAAATAAAACTTCTATTGATGTAATGTAAGAACGTTCAATAACCCTTCAAAAACCATCTAATTTAGAAATTATATTAGATATGTCCAACATCAATGTGATTTCTTGTTTTTGTAAGAATATAAATTGAGTAGCATTGTGTCAAGCACAAGAACTCAAGGAATATACATAAACAAATAAGATATGTATCAAAGAGAGGTGACAAAATGAAAATGAGAAAGTATGTATATTTAAAAAGAAATTGGAATGATTATTGCTAAAGACTAAAAATCTAGAGACTCTTGAAACTAAACAAAAAACAAGTAAGGAATTGACAAGAGTGAGGAAGGCCTCACTTTTGTTTCTATATATACTATCTAACTAGGAGCTATGAGGCGATACTCTATTAAACCTTCAACATGTATCAAACTCACATAATATGTATTTAATTTATAAGACAAGCTTTTTATATATGTGCCACATTATTAGCTTGTATTACAATCTATCAACACGTGCAACATATGACTAACTTGTTGGCTAAGTTTTCAACCTACCATTCACTTATAAACACATATGAAGGTGAAATCACATTTATGAAGCTTCTACAAAAATTTTCTATAAGATATTATCAAATTTATCTTTTTTTATCTACTTCTACATATTTATATTATTTAGGTGATTACTAGAATAAACATGTATGTCTATGATATATTAATGCCAAAGAATATGATCAACAAATAAAATAAAATAAAATAATAATTTTTAAAAGATGCATCTATATATATATATATATAAGAAGATAGTACCAACAAAAAAAAATGATATTTATTATAATTTATTTTTCTATTAAATAATTGATTTTTTAATAGATTTTTTTAGTTAAAAAATACTATAAATAATGCTTTAAAATACCTCTATTAAAAATGTCTTCTTATCAAATACAAAATTTTTCAATGATTACTAAAAAAGAAATAATCTTTTTTAAATAATATTGATTGGACTATGACACGTGATTAGAACATGGTAAAAAATTCAAATGATAAATTTGTTAAGGGCATAAATATCAAAAAACTAAAAAATAAATATATTCTTATATCACTTGAAAAGACTAAAAAATCACTCAAAGATGGTATAATATTAAACTAGAATGGCTATTATTAAAGAAAAAAAGAATAGAGAGCCTTGAATCAAGACTAAAGACTAAAAAGATATTGACAAGAATAAAGAAGGCTTCATTCTTACTTTCATATATAATATCTAACTAAGAATTATGTAGCGATGTCTTATAGGATGTCCAAGACATGTCTAACTTATAAGACAAGATTTTTATATGTGTACCATACAATTAACTTGTTTTTATAAGCAATTAACATTTGTGACATATGGCTAATTTATTGGCCAATTTTTTAACCTATCAATTAACTATAAACATGTCTAAAGTCAAATATATGTTTATAAAGCTTCAAAAAAGCTTTGCCATAAGATAATCTCAAATCTACATACATTTATTTTTTATTTAATACTTTTTATCTAGGTAAATATATATGTTCATGACATTATTCCCTCCTTTTAAGAATAAGTTCCACAAGGAGCAACAATCATATGTTGAAAAAATCTAAGATGCAGCAAATTGTGTTTGCTACATACTGTAATCTTTATTCCCTTCAAAGTATCAAGGACATGAATTAGAAAAGATTCATAAACTTAGGAAATTTGTATAAAAAAAAATAAAAAAAATAGAAATAAAATAATATGTATATTAAAAAGAAACTAGAATAGCTATTGCCAAAAGACAAGAAAATTAAAGACTCTTGAATCTAAATTAGAAGCAAGAAAGGAATTGACAAAAGTAAAGAGGGCTTCACTCTTGCCTCTATATATACTATCTAACTAGGAACTATGTGATAATGTTCTTTAAGACCTTTAATATGTATTGACTTTGCATGACACATGTCTTAACTTACAAGACTTTTTTTTCTATATGTGCTACATAGTTAGCTTGTTCTTCAACCTACCAACATAAGTGGTACATGACTAACTTATTGACTATGTTTCTAACCTAAAAAGTCAATTATAAACACCTATAAAGTCAAAGCAATCTCTATGAAGCTTCTAAGAAGCTTTTATAGAAGATATTATGGAATTAACCTATTTTTATTTACTTTTATCTACTTTTATCTAATCATATAGGTAATTATTGGTTTACATATATATGTCCTTGATATTATCCTCCTCCTCCTTCTAGAAACAAGTTCTATGAGGAGCAGTCATCATATATTGAATAAATCCAAGATGCAAAAAATTACATTTGCTACATATTTTTATCTTTGTTCTTTTTGAAGATAATTGATGGGGCCTTTCAACCATCAATAGTGTCTCATATTAGGATAAAAAGACCACCTAGTTATTTGATTATTATTGAGAATTTTGTAACTTCTTTCAAATAAAATATTTGGAATACTATCAGGAGTTGTTCCTACCTCTAGTAGAATCACCAAACATTAGAAGTTTTTTCAAAGGTCATGATACCAAACGCGTTGTATCTTGCCATCTATTCGAGGAAGAAGATGTTGTTCTTGAAGATCTTCATCTCGATTATATCATCTTCAAGATTGTGACAATCGTAATGTCTTGTTTGGTAGATCAACAAACAAAGGCTCTTGAATCACATCCATTGGTTATTGATTCTCTATTTCATTAGTACTATAAATACAAAGAAGCTACAATAAAGATAGAAAGTAGAATATTATCTTATCTAGATCTTATTTTTTTTATAGAAAAGGTCTTTATTTTAGTTTTGATGGATGTCATTGATGAAAGGGCTTCACCTCCTTCATTACATTTGTAAGATTCTTTGCTAGCTCCCATGTGCATTCACTAATATGATATTTATGCCATTGGACAAGATATTTCAATTTATTTTAGCGCCACCTGAAGTTTAAAATTTCTTCTACTTCAAACTCTTCATTCTTGTCTATTTCTATAGAAAGAAGTGGAGCTTGTCTTGTTCTTGATATGTTCACAACCTTATATGGTTCAAGATGAGACACATAGAAGACAATATGGAACTTCATTGACATCAATAGATATAATTAATAAATAATTGGATTAAATTATTCACAAATAGGAAAACATCCAAACCTCCAATAGTTCAACTTATCACAATATGAATAGTCTTGATATTACGACAAAGTAACTATACCTTGTCACCTATATAAAAATTATGGTTGTTCTTTTTGATAGGCATCCACGTTAATCTTTTGTCATTTTTGAGCTTCCTTTAATTTCTCCTTCATTGTTGCATGCAACTCAAATAAACGATTTGCCAAATCTTTTGTTGTAGGATTATTAATTTTTGAAAAGTCAAAAGTATTAAGTCATGGATGATAACCATAATTAACAAAGAATGGTGTTTATTGCATAAAAGAATGT